CTACATTTGATGGGGAAATTTGGTTTCGCGCGCGGCGGAGTTCCCGCCCGTCCCTGATGCTTAATTAGCGCGAAATTCGAATTCCAATCTTCAAAAGACTTTCCGTAGCTCGATGCTGAGGCTTTGCCAATGATCAGCTTGATAATGCTGTGATTAGTAGATGATTGAGCGTTGAGATACTCCTCACTGGACCGGGCTTGTTGAGAACACAAGTTCTTATCGGGTGAACGAAATTGTGTATGTTGTATGTTGTCCCTATGAGCATGTTAGAGAATCCAGTTTTGGTACTGTTTCATCTGTGCAATGGTCTCCTTTGCTCCCGGCATCGTGACTTTATTGTTTACTTTATCTTCAGCATTGGCCATGCAGACGTTCTCCAGAGCTAAGGTGGTCGAGAGAGTAGCGTGATCTGCTATTCTATTCCGACATTTGCTTATTAGAGTGATCCTTCGGTAGAGGATCGGCTTGATCGTCTGGAACGGCAGATGGCCGATGTGGTCAGTCAGATGTCGGAGTTGACTAAGACAACGTCGAAAATTACTGGTCTTACTCGGAAGGTAAATTTTGGTAGCATTGGTTCTCGTTACGGATATTTCTACTCATCGCAGGTGAGCGCCTTCACCAATCAATGCTTCGCTCAATACGTAGATGGCTTACTGTCACTTGGCCGTACTGAGGATTATTATCGCGTGGAATGGAGCGCGAGTGAATCACAGAGGACCTCAACTTTCTGGTGATACGCACCCTTAATGGACGCTTGTCCGGTCGTATTTCTCCCTCATTTCTTGCAGGAAATATAACAAGGGAGATGCGATGTTCGAGTTCGTGGATGGATCACGCAGAGAGCAGGTCGCAGGACCGTACAAGGAGTTGCTACCCCAATTTGCGAGCGTCAATGCTTTCGCTTACGTGACCTCCACCATAGATAAAATTTTGAAAGAGCACATGACTCTCGAGTCTTGCTCCAAGTTATTCGATTTCATCGAACAAAATCCTCCCCCGGGTCACCAACCTGGGGGAGCCTGGATTGGCAGTTTCATCGCCGGTCAGATGAATGAAGCAATGGATCTCGCAAGGAAATACAAACAATAGAGTGTGGCCCGAAAGATCTTCTCCGTGTTCGCATGTGTTTGATGTTCGCTTGGAGTGTTGTTGCGTTCATGTTGTTCACATGATGGTAATCTCCGCTGCGAATGCTTTGATTGGTCGAGAGATCGTGGCGGCTTCGATCGTGAGAAGTAAATCTGTCTACTCTAGTAGGCTGTCGTGGTGTGTGTTGACCATCACCGATATTAGTGTCTTTCAGTTTAGTGTTTCAATGTGGCGAGAGTGAATAAACTGGTCTGTGAATGCGTTATGAGTTATGCTGCTTGGCCCCGGTGATCGTTGCTGTTGATGTCTCGTCGACTTGGAATATCGATGGACGCGTGGGCGAATGTGCGCTAGAGGCTGATGCGATTATTTTGGGGTGATCGACGAGTATTTCGAGTGGAAGATACTATAGCACTGACTGCGGGGTTAGAGTGATAGTACTCGAGATAGTTGAGGAAGACGCAAGATTCGTAGATCTAGGGTGATTGAATTGTCTATTGCGGCCGTTTCTCGGCGGTTTCCTCGGTGTGATATCTTTTGTAGACATCGTTCTTTCACAGTGATTTGAAACTGTTGCAGACACCAGAACTTATGCCAATTCCTTCACGACTTACATTGTTTGAGTGTTCTTGATGGGACGCGAATTTCGATGAGTGCAATTTTGGTTGGACATTTCTCGACTGCTATCAAGAAGTGCGTGCCTTCCCTTAATGTCGCTTCCTTCGAGCTCGAGAACTCGTCGTACCCCTCGTCCGAAGGTTGCCATGGCCGCCCCCATATCGATTCCTGAAGGTATTTGTGAACGGTTTCGTTTTGAGAATTGTTCGACTGTTCGCTTGGTGTCGTGAGAATATGAGCGAAAGAGTCGCAGATTCTTCGTATTTTCAAGATGACGTTGAAGGTCGGAATTGACCTTGCACATGGGCTTTCCCTCAGTGTTTGTTCATCACTTCTATTGGGAGTTTTACTGTCTTTTCTCCAGACAATCCTTTGGCTTATCGAGAGCAGAGCCTTGCGATGGGAGAGAAGATTGACTTCACTCGGGACTCAGTTTATACCGTACCGGCGAAGATCGCGAATGACGAGAATAACAACAGCTTACTTTCCAATGTAATGCGGTGATTTGAGTCTCTGTGTAATCGCACCTTAGATCGATTTCCGGCGCGACACGATGGAGGGAAGATATGTAAGTCTCTGGCCTTGTCGATCTTCTCCATCTTTCTGGGATATGCGGTTCCATCTCCTGAAGTTCTCATACTTGACGCTAGTTTCTTATCTCTATGATTCATTCGGCGTATACAATTTCATACTTTGACTCCTGTGATTTAGTCTATCACAACTCAAGGACCAAGATTCTCTGACGCCGACCTGAGTCCGAAAGACCCAGCGAGGTGCGGTGCTTTGGGAGGCCTGGAGACGATCGAAGAAGGGCAGGAAGATTCCAGAGGCTCAGCGTATGAGAAGGTAGGCGTCTCGGCCCGAGACTCTCGGGTAAAGTCTGGGTTGAATTTGTTGATCAGAGTGGTAGTTCAAAGCCTCCAATTGAACCTTGGCGATCCTCAATAGCAGAATCAGACGATTTGGCGGGAGACATTGACGGAGTTGAGTGTAGCAGTCGATCGAGCGTAGGCGATTTGGAAGAAGAGTGGTATCCACGGGTGAGATCAGATAATGAGTCTGCCGCCTCTCCTACCCAAAGCAAGTCTGATTGGTTCTAACATCGGTCCTTTGGCAAGCCGGATTGATCATGGTAGGTTCTATTGTGGAACAGTTGGCTTTGTAGCATACAGGAATGACGCTCGTTCCCGTTATTTTCATGAGAACGTTCTTGGCAAAAATGTTAATTCCCACATTCTGCAAATTTCGATTCATTTCTCTCAACTTCACGTCGGCGATTGGTACATGTATGCGAATCTCATCTTGTACGACTTCTTGTGAGCGAATTCTCCCTACAGAGTCCTTAGCGAGTATCATAGCAAATCGACCCAACCGCTCCACTACAGGGGATGATGAACTCGAGGCGAAGAGGAGGAAAATGTAAGACAGATTGAATTGAATAGGATCGCCGAATGGGCATTCTGCGTTATTCGTGGAGTCTGGCGGCTCAGAATCCGGATGGGTCTCGTTTTGGACCCATCGAAAAAGTACTACCTGTTCTCTTCCTCTGAGGAGAATTGAGAATTATTGAATTCCTTGAGAGTACGCGCTAAAATATAGAGGTTATGTCATGTTGACTATTACATGTCTTGAGGGAAATTTTAACAGTGGATGTAGGAATTTTTCGGGACTCAGGAACGCTCGTGAATTGTCAGGTCGCAAGCTCTAAGCTGTGCCGATGCGGACGATGATGAGGTTTATCGTCCTTCCCTGACTATGGCGAGAGCGTTACAGAAATATCACAGTTTTGGTCATGTGTATTCGAGTGTAGAAGAGTCTCAGCCGGAGAGCGAAGTGAGTGCATATCAACGATCTTGGGAATCTGTGGCACTGCAGGTTGAAGGCGGCCAAGAGTGCGAAGAGCTGGAAGTCGCCGAGGAAACCGAGGGAGAGGTTGGCGCTGGTGACAATCAAAACGATAGTGATAGCAAACCTGAGGGAGAATCCCCGACAGTGAACCCTTCCCCGCCGAATACCGTGACTGCTTCGCCACAACGTGAGTTGGAAGGTTCGGTTCTTTCCGTTGGTTTTTTCTTTTTACGCATTTTTATGTTCATCAGATATTCCTTCGCCGCCACCCCCGGCTCCCACAGCCAAAGGTTCTCCGCCGATCGGTTTACCATCGATGATGGGGAAAGGAAAGGTGAACTAATCGATGTGAGGAGCAATCTGGAGTTCCCTCTAGGCACCACCGCCTCCCTTGGCAGTAGGAAAGGGAAAAGCGCCTTTCCCCAGCCCACCAGGAATGAAAACTGGTGAATCAACAGGGATCTCGGCCCAGTCTCATAGGAAGCGTTCAATAGGTAAATCTCCGCTTCCGCTGAAAGCGCCAATTAAAATGGGACCGCCAGTCGCACCCCTTCGACCTCTCTTTTGGACGAGCGTCCCGATGGGTAAGCTCTGCCCAAGCTAACTTTGAGATTCTAATGTCGTACCTTAGGTCCACGGGAGAGACTCGAGAATAACTTCTGGAAAAGTGTCAAACAGGTAGAACTCTCCAGTTTGAAGCTGATCGGTTCTGTAGTTCGCCCCCTGCTGTTTCAGAATTGCAAGATGATCGACGAAGATACGATACCGTGGTGCGCTGAATTCGTACATGAGGATGAATTGCAGACGATGTGAAACTATTGCAGGGGGTCCTTAGCGAGCTTTAAACATACCGGTCTAGGTTCGGACAGAATGCAAGCAAAGTGGCTGGAAAGTCGGTCGGTAATCGATCAGTCGCCGCACCGCCTCGTCACGGGCGGAAGGTTCTCAAACTCCTGGATGACAAACGCTCTCACGTAAGCCTATGAAAATATGATGTTATGCGTCGTACCGGGCTTGCTCGGTTGGATATTCGATTTTGAATCCGTTCTATGGGAGAAGTACCGATTATTTTGGCAGATGTTAGCCATCGCTTTCCGACCTCTGCCTGAACCCGATGAGCTGGTGAAAATTATAGCATCGGGGAATGTCGCGGCACTCACAGGTGAGGGAGAGAGCTGTTTAGGGATCCGGAAATCACCGTGGAGGTCCTACTCGTGTCAGGTACTCAGCTGAGTATGCTTGCGGATGAAGTGCCCACGCCAGATTTTGTGGAAGAGCTGGCGGCGATGGAGACCAGGAGCCTTCAAGAGGGAGTTCAGGCGAATCTTATTAATCTTGAGGATTAGTTTTTCGCTCTGCTCAGACTCAAGCCCAATGGGATACACCGGAACAGTATCTCGTGGCTTTATCGACCGCCGATGATGCCCAAAGTGTGTTGACAGCATGGGCATTTGGGGCGAACGTCCGGTGAGTCGGTGTGTGATCTCATCGAACTTGAGGTAGTCTACGAGACATGATCGCGATCTGTTGTTCACAGGGATGGTCTTCTGGTGGATGTCAGCAAACAGCTAGATGCTTTGGATGCCGCGTGCACTGGACTGAGAGAGTCCAGAGAATTGGTGGATCTGGTCAGGTGAGTCAGTCATTGTGAGCTGTGAAAGAGAGATCCAGAGACCATGCACGTCGTTTTCATGAAATAACCTAAAGATGAATGGCTTTCGTAGTAAATTATTTCAGAGTGATGCTATCGATCGGCAACAGAGTAAATGCTAATACAGCGAGAGGCGGGGCAGAGGTATTCACTCCGGTCGATATTAATCCTCATGAAACTTGTTATCAGATCCTCAGTATCGATTCTCTCCTGAAGTTCGACAGTGTCCGCAGTCCCTGTGATCCCACGATGACCTTGCTGAGATATTGTGTACAAACTTGGAAGAAGAAAAACGGTGGGTGATCAAATATTCGGCGTTGAGTACCCGATACGGGAAGCTATTCTCCTTTTACCCTCCCCGCAGTGTCCAGATGAAAAGGATGCGTCCTGAATTTATCATTACACTCGAATGCGGTTCCTCGGCCTGATTACTCGTTACAAATATCATCGTCACTGTGGATGTCGCGGAGAACAGCGACTACACCACATGATATCAATATCAGGAATCTAGCCCAATCTTTCTCGAAAAGAGTACTCTGCAACATGGAATGGTTTGTGAGCCGAATCCCACGCTCAGTTTCACATTTAGCCCCAAAGTCCTCAACGAACCAGCCGTTTTCCCTTCCATGTTTCTTTTGATGAATCGGCAGATGAGAGAAAGCTCGCGTATCATTCATGCCAGGTCGATCGCCGAGCATGATTTCAATGTTCACTAAGTTGCTGACCCCGGTGACCAATCCGAAAACGAAGGTACGGGCCGGCTTATTCGTCGTCGAAATTTCCGATGATCAATACCATTGCTCAGATTCCGGACATCAAGGAGGTCGAGAACGACGTGAAACGCATTGCTGAGCTATCGAGAAAAGCGAAGACTCTGTTGGAACGTTTGAGGTGAATTCGCGGGAACCTGCTTCTGTGATCGACTCTATAGGCAACAACCGAATTATGAGAAGGAAGTTATCCCATTGATCGAAGACGGTATCAAGAAGACAGATGAACTGCAGGTGAGCGCAAGCGTCAATCACCTCACCCGATCATCCATTTTGTTGCTTACAGGAGCGCCTCAAGAAGACGATGATGAACTGGAAGTTAACTCTGCAGTATTTCTGTGTGAGGAACGAGACTCCAATGGCCGAGAAATCAGACGAATTTTTCGATTTGATGAAGAAGTTCATCCTATTAGTTGGAAATTATGCTGCAATGGATTAGAATTAATACCTGAAATGATGCTGATGGCGATGAAGCATGCTCTGGAATTTGTTTTGTGTTATCGGGAGTATTGTATGGAAGAAAGCGTTATGTAACAACCGCATAGACCCTGCATGTCATGATTGTCCGCTCCACAGTATCTGGTAGGCCATGATGGTCATGTCCACAACCCGTTCGATCCACAACTTTTCCAGAACTTACGCGACGGCAGGAATTGGCTCGTCATGAATGGGAATTGACAGACAAGGACGCGAACGATCTAATCCTGAGAGAACAACTTGGAATTGATATGCTGGAGGAGCGAACGTACGACCAGTTCGTCGATCGTAGAGTGAGAGACGACACTAAACCCAACAGCAGAAACAATATGAGAGCCGGCTCCATATCCCAAAAAAGGCCCACGGAAATAGTTTACAAGCATAATCTCATAAATTCCTTTTGGCAATTCTGCTCAGTGACAGCAGCCTCATTTGTACCGAGCACGTGTGTGCAGAGTTAATGAGCGCATTATAGGGAAATATCTTTGTGTTGCGGTGTAGCATACACTACAGGTATTCCGACGTGCAGGAGATATCTCATCCACCTGTTGAATTTCAGTTAACAGATTTCCGTGGTTCATGCGCATTGGCAATGATTGGCTGTTCATATCTCGTGGTTGCGAGATTTCTTGCCGACGTATTGTTTCTATCTCCATGTGCGGAGATAGATTCCATTTCTATCTTTGCCGTATCAAGCCAGCGTGTTTCTCAAATAAGCGAACATGGAAAAGCAGGAGATGGTAAATGCCTGTTCGTAATGTGAAAAAAACTATACCTTAAGCAGCATGAAGGAACTGGCCAGTGGCCATACAGCTGATTCACTGAAACATGGAGAATCGACGTATTCGGAGGTCTAGTCATAACACTATGAATCAATGATAATAACCCAGAGGCATCAGCATACCATTGTCGACCTTCGCGACACTCATCCAACAGATAGCAAGTAACGTGAGTACATCGACAATCTGTGGCGAATTTTTGATGCGAGGTCTCGATTACACGCAGAAGCTACCTAATCGACAAGAGCCTATCCGATCGATACCAATCGGGAGGCGAGGAGTCGGACTTGTGCCGTACTTGAAACAAATTGACCAACAATAATCGGGGTATCATCCAAACAATCTTCATCTTTTTAAGGCGAAACGATAGGTCTTACTCCTTAGCCACGCGATCAATGCTCGCTAGACTAGTCTTTTCAAGCTGGTCGAACTTCGGCATTGCGTCTCGGACACACTTAGCGGCACAACGGTCAAACTCGGCCTCGACTGCCTTGCGCGTCTCTGGATTCGCCATCAGCTGAAATGAGGCGCGAACTGTTATCATGCGAGAGAAGCGCTCCGCTAAACGAACGGTATGCGAATAAACAACGCTGAGTATAATGAGTCAACGCACTCCACACCCTTCCCAGGGAAGCGCAGCCCATCACAAGAGCGATAGTGATTTCATGGCTAATACGCAAGTGAATCCAGCTTCTGTAATAAGCCGTCTCATCGATTCACCAAAATATGATGATAACAAAGGAACGTGCTCTGAGTCGTAGACCACACGGTCGCGAAAGAATAAGAAACGCCCATGCGATAGCGAGGATCTTGGTATAACCGAAATGCACAAATCTAGCAAATCACCTCAGAATTGCTGCCGCTAGCTGGCATGCACGCGTTGACGCAGGACTGTATCATGTTGCTGACCGCTTGTGAATCATGTTGAAGCTCCTGTTGGAGCCTAACCACAACAATAGTAACAGAGACGAGTCAATGACGAGTAATTACTTCATCGCAGGCTGAGCCGCGTCCTGCTGGCATCGTTCAACAGCCTTATAGTCATCACCATTGGTATCGAAACCTAAAGTCTGCGATGTTCAAATAAACTAGCGAGCGCGACAGTACATTTGAGTGTTTGAGCGGCTACTTTACGACCGACCTTGAGAAGGCGGATTTGGATGAGATCGGACATCTTCTCGACTTTGGCGTTCAGCTCGCTCTGGGCGTTGCGGAACTCGTCAGTCATGGATATAGAGAAACACGCAATAAGGACGACTGCCAGCCCGTGAGAAATTAACCACAAGTCCATTACCCCCAGTGACATGACCTCCGAATTGACTCGAGAAAAAAAAACTGTTCAACGACCACGGGGTCGATCAGTCGGGCGCGCGCGTATCGGAAAAAGCATCGATCGGCTGATCGATAGCCGGCTCGAAGCCTCACGGAGGCCTACTTCACGCCGCAGCAGCCATGGGAATCAAATCCTACCGAAACTGTAATAAGGGATAGGGACAAGGATGCGTCCATCGATGTGGAGCTGCGGACCTCGAGCATATCTCGGCATCTCGTTGAGGGGACGTCCGGTGTATCATTAACTTTTCAGACTCAAAGACTGCCAATACCCCTCGTCGCCCCTTCGAGAAGGCTCGTATCGACTCTGAGCTTCAGATTGTCGGCGAGTACGGCTTGAAGAACAAGCGCGAGCTTTGGCGTGTGCAGTACACTCTTTCTAAGATCCGTGCCGCCGCTAGGTAGTATCTGGGAGGTCCATCGTTTGATTCGCAGTAATCTCTATCGTATATCTTCTTTTGTGTTAGGCATTTGTTGACCCTCGACGAGAACGATGAGACCCGCGTCTTCCAGGGTGAGGCTTTGCTTCGTCGTTTGGTTCGTTTGGGTCTTCTTGGTGAGGACGAGCGCAAGCTCGATTATGTTCTTGCCTTGACTGTCAACAAGATGCTCGAGAGACGTCTGCAGACTAAGGTCTTCAAACTCGGTCTTGCTAAGAGTGTCCATCATGCTCGTGTCCTCATCAAGCAGAGACACATCAGGTAGGCTTCGGATTCATCGGGCAGTGTCATCTTTATCGTTCTTTCTCTCAGGGTTGGCAAGCAGATCTGTGACGTTCCTTCCTTCATGGTCCGTCTTGACTCTGAGAAGCACGTTGACTTCGCCCTCACCTCGCCCTTCGGAGGCGGACGCCCTGGTCGCGTAAAGAGGCGCAACGCCGCTAACGCTGGTGGTGATGATGATGAGGAATAAACAACAGATAGTGTTGATTGCCACTCGTAGCAGCTGCCGGTAGTGTCGTGATTTGGTTTCGCGGCTAAAACGACGAGTGCATGTGTTGAGTTATCTCAGTGATGAGGGGAGGTTTATTGGTTAGTCAATGCGCTAGTAACTGCCTTGTCAGCACATGCCTCGGAGGGGTTCGTATCGGGGTGTGATTTCGCTCAATTTCAATTCCTTGAGGATGACTTTCCAACTCGGATCTGAGGCTAGACGAGTTTAGAGAGGGAGTGGCTAGTGTACGTGGTTCACTAAGACATCTGAATGGTGACCATTGGCACCAACTGTCCGATGATACGGCCCTTAACTGCTTCGCATCATTCGAACTTTCATGTGGCACGGAGGAGCACCAACATCCATGCTATCAGGACCGTGAGGGTTGTGTGTTTTTACCTTTCCCGCATTCCTGTACCAAGAACTTGTATCTGTCTAGCGATCCACATCAAAGCGGTGTTCGAAGGCTAGCAGTACGCGGCAGTCACTGAGTTATTCCATCGGCATTTCAATGATACCTGTGGCGACAGTTGCCAAAAAATTCGTGTCGCGGGTAGTTGATAGTTTTCGCGAATAGACCGTCTGTGATAGACCCTCATGACGAACAAGGGAAGCACGCATTCATCCGTGAACCTCGCAGGTTCGATCCCTGATTCAGGCTTTTTGTGGAATTCTTGGGAGTAGCCGAGCACAGCGCTAGATTTGCATGTCGTTTCTCACGTGACGTTGGTGGGTCGTAATCAATGAGCCGCTTCCTGTTTATTGATCATAAACATATGTTCAGTGTTCAATGACTTGTGCTGCGTGATCAGTCCCACCATTTTGTTAGATTATCATTCGCTCTCTAGAACAATTGGTTAGCATATCACTTGGGAGAAGTCAAACATGCATGAGGGATTTGAATTGACAAGCAGTCACTGTATGTAGTTCAACGCCCATTCGTCTTCTTTGTTTATAATGTGGAGCTCATCAGCGTCAAGCTCATGGTCGTCGTCATGGGCGCCTGATGATGATACAAACACTGCGAGCGCTCCGGACAGCGCCGCGTCAGATGCACAAAGCACTGCTTTCAAAGGTGCCACCAAGACCATCACTGAAGAGCGATGCAGGACGGACCCAACTTCGGGTAATGCTGGGAAGTCGAGCTTTTGATCCTCTGTACCTTCGTGTAGTGCGAATAGTAATAGAATATCTGTATTCTTTCAACGAGTACTAGACTACATTGTGGTACTGTATCTTTCAACAAGAAAAAACTGAATCGGAAATTCTATGAGAATTACGTTCCTGGACAAACTGGTTGTGTTCCTTGCAGAGACGTTATTTGATTTCAGGTGAGACGCGATGCGAAAAAATTCGCCGTTTATTCAGACAAACCCGCCCGGGTGGACCGATGGAGGAGGTAACAATCTCAAGCACGGAGATTGTCAGCAGGGAACTGTTGCATTAGGTTGAATCCACACGTACTGAGAGTAGTGCTCCTCGGCAATGGTCCTCGCTATTTTCGGGAGTTGCTGATGGGTCGGAGGACAGGGAAAACACTCAGGTAGGTCATATGTCACTCGTGCGCTGAAATGAGAATTGTCTCCAGTATTTACCCAAAACATGGATTTTATGATCAGGATGAACACTTCCCCGTTGTTGACGACAATGGCCGTCCAGTGGGGAGAGCTATGCTCCGGCCACGATCGGCTTCGAGGGAGGATGGACACCATACAGCTCATCATTTCATGGACTTGTTTCATGGACACCATGACACACCACATGAGACGATAGTTGTGGAACAGACCAAACCAGGTAGTAAGGATTCGAGAAGAGTTTGCCATATATGGTCTTTGTGATAATACTGACCGATAGTATTTGACAAGTTGAGAGAGTCGTATGCAGTATAGCATGTCCACTGTGAGGAGATTGAGTAACCAACACAGAGCAAACGAGCTTCATGGGAATGAGAATGATAGTAACATCTATGTGATTGCTCTTCAAGTCATAGTGGTGGTTCTTGTATTCACATTGAAAGTAGTAGGATGTGTGCGAATTGAATAATACCTTAGAGATGTGGTTCATCGCTGACATCAGACAATTTTCGGTCTCGCAAGTAGCCGAATATCATTGAGACATATGACAGATGAGACGAACTTATTTGATAGCCCTCTTGTAAAAAATGACAAACTCCGATGGATCATAATGTTGTGTCAATTTGCAGCCTAGATTGCTCGAAGTCGAATTCGTCCAGGATGGGGTGTTGTGAGCTCAATCTCAGGTCTTGGGGAGAAGATATTCTTGAGTATCTTTGGTTCAATGATCGAAATGATGTTCCGCCATCTTGACAGTGAATGGCCGGATATCACGTCGAATGGCGGATTATTTAGCAGTGCGATGGATGTCGCTACTGGAGCTGCGGACGCCGCGACGGAGCAATATGGACCAGGCTGCTATGAAGTTTAAGTATATACATTTTGTGTGAATGAAAGAAACTACAATCAATTACTGTACATCTTCACCTTATACTGTTCTGCAGTTTTTATGAGCGCCTCGTTTGTGACTCTATTGTTGGTCTTAGGAGGTGTTGTGAATATGCTGAACACATCTCGACGAGTCCGTCGCGGCCTTCCTCTGATACTCTTAGCTCTCCTTGTCTCTGGTAGAAAGTTGAGTTGTGGGGAGTGCTCGCACGGCGAGTAGGACTTTCGTGGAATTCTAAACAGGATACCGGTTCCTAGCAGCATCTCATTGAAGAGTGTATCTCTTCAAGAAAAACTTGTACAACTTGTTGTGAGAGTTTCTCGGTTTTCACTGGGAAAAAATGCAATTTACTCGCGTTTTATTAGGGATAGAAACCTGTTGTTATTCGCGCAGTAATACCACGTCGTCACCATCCTCACCGAATTGACCATTGTCATCAGGCCCTGACGATGAAATTAAAGGGAACGGAGGGCGCAGCAAATCTTATAACTTTGAATGCAACATATGCTTCGATCAAACCATCGAGCGTGAGAGAAGCGTTCAGAAGTCGTGTCGCCAGCCCATTTCACCAAGGCTTTAAATTCAGTCGGTTTTCTGATGATTCCTCGGTGCTGATTAGAGTTGTTAGTATGGGAAAATTTCTGTATTGACAAATAGTTTCCCGAATATGTGAATGCGATGGTGAATGGTATCCCAGCCGTGAGGTCAAACTATCCAATCCTGGTGGAGACTCTCATGAGAGACGTTTACGGGGACTGGAAGGCAGAGTCCTTTCCGAAGCCTCTGCCACGTGATGAGGCGGGTCCGGGAGGGCCAGGTGGTCGGCAGAGAAGGTATCGAGCGATGTCGATGCTTTGTTAAGAGAACTTTTAACTTTGTCAGGTACCTTTGGATTGATGCATTTGGAGTCCTCAACTTCGTCACTTTGTCGGAACGCTTCCCTGACCGGGCGAACGAATTGCTGGGCGCAGCGGGAACTCTCATCAAGACCGTTCATGAGACACTGGGGACTCCTCGGAGTAGCGAATTTCCTATGCTTGTTGACCCCGATCGTCCCGGCTGCTATAAAGGCCTGAGAATTGGGAAGTTGCATGCACGTTGTAACAGTGATGCTGGCATGCAGTTTGACGGTATGTACTGGCACTATATCGACAAGTGGCTGTTTGCACTCATTCGCTATCACCAAGCGACCAAATCAACAGATGCCCTCGAGCATGCTATTAGAATCGTCAAGAACGTCCACCTGTATTTCTGCGTCCCAGGCCGAGGCATGCGCTGGAAGGTGAATACGGACATGAAGTCGATCGCTGGTCTAGGAGAAGCCCATCCGAATCATGACGCTCAGACAGCATTCATTATCTACACTCTTATCGATAGTTTCCGCCCAGGAGTTCTCGAGAGGGAATTGGCTGACTTGGCGCGACCTTTTCAAGCATACTACCAAGTAGCTGCTGAATGTGTGTCAAGTGCGTTGGGTATAGGGACGGTGCCCCGATATTTGTACATCGTGCATTTGTTCCAGGTGACCCCTTAGGCTACGGTTTGACATGGTGGACGAACCAGTTTCTACGAGGCCCTGAGGCTGAGCGAGAGAGAGAAGCCCTCATCGAGATCGCTCCGCTTGCCCTGGATCGCCGTTTTGGAATTTCTCTTCCTTTCCGTCTATATGGAGCACTTCTTGGAGGACAGATGAGCAGAGTCTCCTCCATAATAGACAATTGCGCGAAGATGATCGAAACATTGATCCCCAAAGAAACGTCAACTGTTTGCGGCGATGTTGAACACTCTGCTATCAACAAGGTTATGTTCGCTGCGGCCCTATGCCCTGATGAATGGGTCAAACACGAAGACGATCCGAGCGTAGGCTGAAAAAAGGATGTGAATTTTTCCATTTTATTTCTGTGCTGGTCCTTATTTGTGTTGTTACTCTGTTGGTGACAACTTGACAATTCTGAGGCAACTTGGGAAAATTTTCATTGGTTTATGCACAGTTTTTCCCGAATTCATGTGTAAACTTCAATAGTGGCTCAGTTGAGGGAAGCTGACATTTATTACAACAATGGAGAATGGCCACAGTAGCTGGATCGATTGGCCTCTCGATCCTCCTTCCAGGATTCCGAATATCTAGCTCTTGATTCTAGATGAACCAGAGTTATCTTCCGTGGCAACTAAAGTCATGAAGCTAGCGTGCTTCAATAACATATCATATCCATCGACGGGATAGCTCTGCCGTGCGATGATTCACACCAACTTGCGAGCCTCTGAACTGATGCTAGCGCTTCTCGATAACACATTCCTCCTGGTGTTGTCTGGTCTCGTCGGCGGCGGTTCCACATTCAAGGAGAGTAGTCAGCGGCATGGCTAATACTAGGCTACGATAACTGGGTCTGCGACACGGAGTGAGGTGTGATTCACGGCGCACATCTTGAGCAAGGTCCAGTTCAACTCAGTTTTCACGCAATTCCGGTGTAGGAAAATATGCGCGTGGTCAACTACATGCGAAGTTGGCTTTTATGGATGAAAATTGAGGGAATTCGGAATTTTATCGCGTTGTTACGATTAGATTTCTCTCAATAATCCATCTCTTGCAGTCGTGTTTTCCGTCCGGTTAACGCGTATTTCATATTCCCGCCCAGCGGTGAGAATGGAGAGTCCTTCACCGCTGATTGTCCTCCCGAATGAGGTGCAGTGGCAGAGGACAATGTCTAACATCGATGCTTTCATGAAGAAGCTGAGGATTTCCCAGGAGCTGAGAGGTAATATTGGCTTAGCATAGGCTTCATTTTTCACTTGCAGATACCCACAAAGACATCGTATATTTTGTTACATCAAACACGAGTATCTTCCGTCACCCGGCAAGGTGATGTGACTTGAGCAGTGAACTTCTTTCTCAGGCAAATTCGAAATTTTGGTAAAACTTTCAAACTAGTTTTCTTCCCTTAGTTAGCGTTTAAGGCTGAGACTTCAACGAGGTATAAATATAGTGATGAGATATCATATACTAGAGTGAATGGGTCATATTCGTGACCGTTACACATATATATATAGGCTTAGATGCCAGCTGGGAGGGGTCCTGCTTGAACAGGACTGAGAGGTTGCTGAACAGTGTCATGTCAGGCATCGTTGTCGAGCTCTCTTCGAAGCGATTGAGCGGGTTTTTCATGGGGACCTAGACAGATTCACAACTACTGTCAATGACGTGCTGCAGGCGATTACTGAGGTCCGGGTTGTATGGTTCGTACAGCGAACTGGGCTTTGGTTCGAAGTTGCCGACCTACATTGTTGTTTCCAACGGACTCTTGGCATATACTAGCTACTGGGTAGTGACTATAGAGTACCGTCTGCATAGGCCGCATCATGCGTACTGAATGGGATGGTATGCGCTTCCAGTTGTCCGATGAGAAAGTCTGCCACTACGTTCGAAGTTTGCAGACTATTAAGGCTGCGTGGACAGATGGCAGTGTTCTGATTTCCATCAGTTACGAGGAAAAGATATCCCACAGCTTCCAGTATGTTGCTCTGAAGGAACATTCAGAGAGGTCACGCTGAGCAGATACCAGGTGGTGAGGTTAACTGGAGAGTTCAGCACAGGAACATCAAAAATTCTTGAATCGATGTTCAATATATTGAATTGAATTATTTAATTATTGAATGGTTGATAACAGAATGATGCAGATTGGGAGATCTATCGTCTTAACACCAGCTCGACTAGGAGATGTATTGGAATTTTGGGGAACATAAGGAAAAAAATCCGCTCTCTCCTGTTCATTTTGATTCAGCAATTATGAATCATGATCAGCTCCGCAAATTGGAGATCGGTCTAGATCAAGTTAGATTTGTGGGAATTGAGGTTTCCAATTAGGTGCTAGGACTTGTCGGCGCGATGTTCTTCGGCTGTTTGCCTTCTCAACCCTGTCCTGAATCCAGGCCGGACTGTGACTTCTCGTTCATTAGAGAAGAGGATGTCGAAAAATCATGTTGCCTGTTAAGGTTGGCCACGCCCCATGATGTCCCTTGCGAATATACCAACTCAGTTATTTCCGGTCGATTACGGACTCAACCGAGGTGATTTCAGCGAGAAAAGAGTACATTAGGATTAGCAGAGGGGCACCAAGTATGCCGGTGAGTGGTGACACGAGGCGGTGAATCGGCGTCTGTGGGCGACAATCTGAAGTCAGAAAACCAGTCGAGTGACTTGAAAGTTGTAGTTGTAATCTAATGGCAGGAAGGAAATTCGCCCGCCAAAATCTGAGTCAATGATGCCTTGAGTTGCTCGACCATTTTTCCGTATGATGATTCGAACAATCGAATGTCACGATTCGAACAATACACGATCGACTGATCTCTGGTTTATCAGGAAAATGTCACCGGCTGTTCGAAGTTATGCGACGTGGTAATTTGTGACAATGGAGGAGTCGAAGATGCTCATGGACTTCTCCAGGCTGACTTCGCGAACAGGTAAAGACTCTTTACCTGTTCTTTTCTTTTTTTAAGGGATGCTTTATGTGATTCTTATACTCTTTACTAAAGAGTATAAGTATCACACAATGCAACCCTTATGTTGGAGAGCAGGGTAATACTAGTGTACTAGTAGTGCTGTAATACTAGTCAGTTATACTACTTGTACTACGTGAATCATAGTACTGCAGTAGAACAGTTATTATAGTAAAGTTGTACTAGTATCAGCGGATCATTAGCAGCCACGATGATGAACCCTATAGAGTGATCGTCTTTACTTCATCAGTGATAGTGTGAACCATGAATTTGCGGCGGTGAACTCTCGTTCGCTGATGAAAAAAAAACGCCCTGCTCGGGAGTTAGGAGCTCGTCGGCTTTTTGCAACGCTCAAGGACTATTCTCCGATATCTCGGGGTCTTTACTATTCAGATATATCGGAGGTGGCGTTCTGGAAGGCGGCAATGTCCAAGAGGAGATAAGATTCGCGATTTGCCCTGAGCTGATTGTCACTATGCTCCTCTGTGAAGTAGCCCCATTGCGAAGCTGGCAGTAGGATATCGTGCAGGCGAATATTAGGTTATGGATGATCGCGAGGCCATACGAGTTGATGGCGCCACTCGGTTTTCTAAGTAAGTTGAGTTCCACCGATTTTGGTAGGAAATGAGCAGTGTGGGGAAATACGCACATGGTTAATTGCATGTGTTGGTTACAGTTGTGATCCACACACAACTTGTGAAAATCCTGGGGGGCTCAGGGAAACACTGGGAATGAATGAACCCAGGAGATGATGTTGGTTCGTACTGTTGAACACAAGGAATCTACTGAGAGTGAACCAAAATAAGAGTCAAGTCAATCCGCGGTGAATTGTTCTCTGTCGGCTTATTAGTTACACTGGCTACGGCTACTCTTTCAAATGGGCAGGGGAATATGATGATCCCACACCCTTGGGGAGAGATTCTATAAGGGATGTCTCTCTCGTGAGTTGCCAGTGAATCATTACGTCTTTCAATTCTTTCCAGTGCTGCGATCGGGGTACTTTAATACCGTAGGAATAGGGGTCGTTTAGAAAGCAAAGAAGTTGTCGCCGCGCTGTGTGAGGGATTCGATACCCGTGGATCTGTGTCAGTTCTGCGTAGACGCCCTGCCCAGTCCAGGCGTCGAGCAATTTTCCGGTAAGCTGATCGAGCGGGAGCTCAGGAAATTCTATTGCGGGTGAGCAAATGCAAAATCATCGGAAACTTATGGTCGAAGTTCATCGAGGAGCTCGAGCATACTCGCTTATCGTATGAATGAATCGAGTGAATGAAGGTTGGTTCGCGGTCTGTCGTGCAGCTTATAGGGTCTGCCAGATGAGATGTGTTTTTCAGAGTATGCAAATATCCCAGTGAGGAAGGAAATGGCTCTCTGAGGGGAATAGCCATTGGAAATTGGGGATGTGGGGTGTTTGGCGGTGATCCTCAGCTCAAATTCGTGGTATAGTCGGCACGACTCACATGCGGAGAATGCTTCGCGTAGATTCAATGGGCGGCGACGTCTCTGGCTGGAAGACCTACCGTCCAATATTATCGTTATGGAGAGAAGAGACTGGAGCTATTGGAAGAATTCATCGAGACCATGAGGAGTGCTGAAGTTCGGCTTGACAAGTTTCTCGAAATGGTGCAGAATTCAAAGCCGACATCGGAAGTGTTCAGTCAAATCATAGGAAGCTTGTGATTTCTGCACTATTGTTTGAGCCGCGTTTCGAACGGGAGTTGCAAGAATTTAGCGCCCCTTCCAGAAAGCCGTACTTAAGGACGAACCTCATTGCGTGATCTCTATGAATAGAGAAGCATTGTGCCGCTGATACTCTAGCTCCGCAGATTTCACCGGAATTATCACTGCCATCGTCGATAGAGCAGAAAGCCAGCTTGACGCATTTTAGTCTTCGCACTCCTAACTCTCACGATGTGGTGTATTCTGTTCGTTGGTCCTATATCTTTCCGTTATTGGTTTGCATGTAAGTTGATCTTCCCCTGCCTGCTACATCAGAAAGTTGTAAGATGATCGGAACGTGAATCAACATTCCGTTATCCTACATGTCTCTCTTATCTTCATAGCTCTTTCTGAATTACTCAGGAGAATGAGGAAAGTCTCCTTATTAATTCTCTCCTGAATGTTCTGCGGCATTCATCCCGGAGGTTCACATGTCCAAACCCAATGCATATAGAGCGTGGGTACAAGACAGCCGGCACACATGGACAACAAAATACGGACATTCACATTATTCGGGTAGCATTCCAACCCTGGACCCTCTCGCAGATGAAGTCGAGCAGGATCTTACCCGTTAACAACGGGGAGTCGGTTGAGCTGTCCCGAGAAGATGTGGCGAATTCTCTCAACTTACCCGCTATGTATAAAGCCTCATACAAGTAATAAAGTGAGTTTGCACATTTTTCCGAGTCAATCGTAGTAGAATCGAGGTCGAACTTGTAGTCTCGGCGCTGCCTTAGGGTGAGTTGTACATGACAGGGGTGATCATGGCTGAAATGGCAATTTTGCGAACATAATTGACTTCTTATTATTACAAGTCCTTAGCTTTAGTCTTGCCACATTGTGCCCAGGTAAGGAAGAAGCTCGAATGATCAATAGAAGGATGAAACTCGAGAGCATGGTCGTTATCATTCATCAGCCTTGCATGACACAGCAGGCTCTGGGAGTTGGTCGGATCACGTAGTCTCGTAGTTTCGATACCCTGAGAGTGAGGTGTCAAACCTCGGGAGGAGATTCCGTCTACTTTCAATTCTGGTGCCTCCCATTTCGCCGCAGCTAGACTCGCAAGATACATGTGCAGAGTACTGAATGGAACTTCCTGAGTGTCGGCGGAGATTAACCCGAGGAAGGTCGGGTCGTTTTTGAGGCCTTTAAATAACAGGTCCACAGCTTCTTCGCAAGTCAAAGCGTCTTGCTGATGGATCTCAATCGGTATTTTATCGGATAAAACATTAGATGGTCCCGACCTGATAGGATATCTACCTCACCGACTGGTGACCGCGACAAACTCTCACGACAAGATTTTGTTTTCCTTGACAAAGACCAGGTTGAAACCTTGCTGGGACTTCTCGAATTCGAAGGCGTCAGTGTCGTCAACGGCCTTGACCCGGCACTTGAGCACAGTGCTACGGGCTCTCTTATTTGCTCCCTCTCTGCGGGTCGGATGCAGTGACTTCGACTTGAGGGAAGTCAGAATATATGTCTAACAATAGGAAATTCAGTCGATGATGCTTTACAGTAGTGTGAATAACTTTACGCCTACTTGGTGATCGAGTTTGAGAGTACTCTGAGCTTCTGGCGGAGTCGCTGACAGGGCCACGACGGTCAGCTCCAGGCCGAACAAGACTCCAAATGCTTGAATGCTGAGTAGACGCATGGTGGAAGGAGATAGACTATCTCCGAATGACTATAATTCCACGACGTTCCGTGCTTGTGACAAGCGCAAGACTTAATCCATCACAGACTCTCAGACACAGTCGCGACACATCATGATGCATAGTATAAATTCTCATTGGCAGTTGCGGTTCATATTAAATTGAATGAGTTTAACGCTCAGTCTTTCAAGCCCAGACTGGCGATTCGCCATCCTAAAGACAAGGGAACACTTCTGATCTCGGCGCGATACCCTATCTACCCACCACCATTCCGACCACTCGTCCTATGTTCCTGACAACAGATAATACCATAAGAGAAGAAGTACGACATTGGCTCGGTGAAACACTCACTTTCACATCGGCTTCTCTCTTCGGCAGACTTTCCGTATGCTGCTGCGCTTCATCATCTGTAGAGGGGTCAAGCGTCGTGGTCGCTAAGTACTCCTGCTAGCAGATCAGAACCCTGTCGCATGAGCAGCAACATACCTCCCTTTCCATCATAGCCTTAGTCGGTTCAAGACTGAATTTTCCAGCGCGGATAGTCACCTGAGAACAAATACACTCCGAATAGAGTTTCCGTGCAACATCGAAGTACACCCTAGCCGTACTGTCTTTGTATTTCATCATGAAATTTTGGATCACACTGCTACCAAACATTCCGACGAACATGAGCAGCAACGCACGGATGCGATCCTGTTGGCCTCCATTCGAGGGGGAACAAACCATGTCTCAGCCTTAGGCACAACGCGATCCTTCGTAGAGTCGTCGCAGGCCGCCTCTAATGTTACCCACGTACCGGCTCCACTTGTCCCGCAAATTTAAGCATCAGGGACTCCGCGATTTGGCGATCTTTACAGTTGATCGTAACTCGGTTGCCAGAGAGAGTGTAGCCACTAGCAACATCACCCTGGACGTCTAGACTGTCGAACAGTAAGCGGATCTGAAGAGAGTTCGACATCACACTCGCACGGAAAAAATCTCTTACCTCATGCAAACTGGTTTTTTCTTTATCGGTCGGGAAGGTCGACATTTCCTTGAGAACGATATCGCCATTGTGACTAGTGAGCTCCAGTACCAGATATTCCGGGAGTGATGAAACTGATGGACGAGCCGTGGTGGGAACCCTGGCGTGATGTGCGCCCTCTGTCACACTGTGAACAATGCGCGAATCAGTGTGATATTCACGAAGTAATGCCCCTGGCATTCCACACGTTTGCAAATCGAGGCTATGAAGAATAGGCCCGCCAGAGAAATCGCTCACAAGCAAGCAACGCAGCCTAGACATGAATTCGAAGTCGCAAGAACAGGCCACCAAGAAAATGAATGGACCGCGCCTTCGTGAATACTTGTGGGAACAACCTCCTCCGATGGGCCAGAACTATCAGGCATGGGCGAAGTAGTAGTTGTCGTGAATTCTGTTACGGTTGCCTGAAGTACCAAGGATGGGTGAGCTTCACAGCGTCAACAACTCGCACCTCGAGATCAGAGTTCCACAACAGACGAACGTATTCGGCATCCTCTTTGGAATCACAGCGGAGCTTGTACACTTTCGGTAGACTCTCAGCATCAGTGAAGCAGCTAAAATACAAACAAAATGCACTGCACATGGACGTTGAGAAGTCGCAGGCACACCGCTTAGCAATTGAGACGGATGAAATTACATGGACAACAGGTGTCATATTGTGATGGATTGAGAGGATTAGTTCAATTTCTAGTCCATAGTTTTGAGCCTCTCGAGCAAAAGTGAGTGCATAGGTAGGCGTGCAATATTACTAGATATCCATCAAGTAGTCGCCAACGACAGATGTATATGTTGGCTCTCCCATGGCCTCCGGACAGAGCATGATCAAGTCGTTTCTACCAGTTTTCCGCAGCTGTTTGGAAATGAACCATACACAATTTCTAAAGAGGCTCATAGCTACCAACCTTAAGTGCATGCCCTTTAACATTGATGGACGAGACAAATGCAGTGCCGACTGAGGTCTCAATCTCCCCCTGCGATTCAAACGCCAGGATTTCACGGCATGTACCGTAGGCCAACTACTCAGAACAGGACAGTCCATATCCGCACGAAACTAGAACAGGCTCACCCATTCGCCAGGAATTTCCTTTCCTGATACCTGAATAACAGACAATCAAGACACCAAGAGCGACTGGAGAACGCCGATCAAGCACGACATACGTCCCATTTAATGGTGCGAGTAGCAGTGGAAAATTCAAACTACTTCAGGCGAGTCCACTCCGTCACTAACACTGGCATTATCAACTTCAGTAGTGTAATTCTCGACCTCGGGGAGCCCCCCATAATCTCCAGCCTTTTTCTTGTCCCCGCTCATATTCTCCTTCTCCGCACCAACGAGTCTTGGTTGATTGCTGACATTTTCAAGGTTCGCTTCGTCGTCGATAACTTCACTCTCAGCTTGGACGTCGGAGTCTGCTGCGGTAGCTCGTGTCTATAGAAGAGTGAAGCATAGGGGGACGTCGATGTGATTTGTTCCACTCTACATGGCTGATTCGCACAAGACATCCTATAATTTCACAAATTCGGATCAGCCGGGACCAGCGCGGACCATATGTACATAGGCTTTTGAAATGGTTAAAAGTTGATAAGAGTGTGAGCAAAGCTCCGTGAGTTGGAGTAAAAAGTTATTCTGCTGAGACAAAGTAGTCCCGTTCGACGTCCCGTGAGCGCAGTGTATGGAGTCGTGTAAGTGGAGTATAGGGTCATGAGTGGAAGCGAACCACAATTCTAGATGCTCTACCATCTCAAGCTTACTCGATCTGGGTCATCATGATGTTGCTCAACATTAGGCATCGTCGATGTGATATCGGGTTCCTCTTCACCATAGCTCTGGGCAGACTCGAACGAGGGCAGGTCGGGAATGTCGGAAGGGGGCGCTGGCTCGGACAGCTGACAAGGGACGATCCCCATGGAATGCGCTGAACAGTATCCGGGGGAACAGCGTGAAGTGCGGTATAGCTATGCTGTTAGACTACAACGTATTCAAGGAACAGATCAATGAAGAACTTTGGTAGATCTTACTTCTTGAACAGGGACATAAGACGTTCCGAAAGTCGCTAAAGCGATTCCGCTCAAGGAGGCTTCAAGCACCTTGAAAATGATGAAAACAAGCACGAGATCTACTGACAATCCTCACCAAAAGAGTGCTGGTGAATAAGGCGGTGACGTGAATTTTTAAAAGGAGGTCAACAACGTGACGTTGGACACGAGACAAGCGCAGTAGGAAATGCGATTTTCGGGCACTTTGCAGTACAAACTCGGCTGTCTCGTCACAAAACTCCTATAGTTCAGCGTCGTATAGTGGAGGAATACTCTGATTACTTCGCTCTCCAATGCCCGAAGTCTAGAAGTCAGATAGGGAACATATGGTACGCTAGTGTATGAGAATCGTCCTACTCAATACCAATCCACGCGTGTTCTTGGCGAACAAGGGCGATCTCCCTTGCTCAAGCAGGGCCTGATAATCAACCTCCCTGGACAGGACCAGATTGAATATCGATGCCTACCTGGTCCCACGGAGCTCTCGCATCGGAGTTCTTGGTTTAAATTTCGAACCTGAAAGTCACAGATGCAACCGACCTTGCTACGGCTTCAACAGGTCTTATGATGTGCCCACGACCTCCTTTATGGCACTACCTAGATCTGAACAATCAGAATGCTGTGTTGATTGGTTCATAATCGTGTTCGCAAGCGCGGTGGAAAATTTTCTACGGCCTCCGCGATGAAACTCATGGTGTGATTCGATAGTAGTTGCTTTTGAATTGCATACCCGTGAAGGTTCAGCAGTCCCAACCAATCGTATGAGCGCATCACACTGCTCTTTATCTTTATGGAGCTTCAAATGGCTCTCCTCTAGATAGGTATTGCAACGATTCTTCGGACACCTTAGCAACATTTTTCCACGCCTGAGTCTGTACTCTGATACCCGAGTGCTACTGCAAGACAATAGGCGAATCCCTAAGTTTTTTCTGAGAGATATGCAGGATTATCTTCATGGTGTTTCTCAACAATCCGGAAAATGTTACATATCATTAAGGCCTTGAAGCAGTGCGAGATTTTCCTAAGCCGTCTTGACGAAGTGAAAATTCTGGTTGAAGCAAGTGAATGCGAGTTGGACCTCTAGAGATCTTTGTATCGTATGGTCCTTCATCGCTGATAGACGACTACTATTCACGGTTCTGAGTAGAGTTGATCGTGTAGTGGAATATGTGACGTTGACAGATTTGCAGTTTGCCTCCCTGTAATGTATAAGGTCTTCGGCGTGGGTCGGGGTAAAAGGGCTGAGCAGCAGCCCTCTGCAGCGCAAAATGGAATGACGACGAAGCCAAAACAACAGCCTGGCGAGATTAGGCTGCAAAAAGGTAGTTTTTGAAGTGTTTGACTGTACTGGAATTACTTGTACATCTCTTTGACGGGTGAAGGTCACTCCGGATGGAAGTTGCGAAAAATTGGGATGAGATACGGAAGATATATGTATGGTAAATAGTACTGAAGAATCATTTTGGGAGTCGTGTTTTCGGCGCACCTGTCACGGAAGTATGAAATTTCCTCATACTTGGCTAGGCTCGATGGTGATGTTGTGGGATCAGCTATGACGCCTAGCGGTGCCACCCAAACACTTGGATAACTTCGTCGCGCAAGGCACAAAACGAAGTCCATGAAATTATACTCGAATGTCTATCGAGCAACTTCGTGTGTGATCGTGTTGGTCACCGGATGCACTAGAATGCTCATATTATAAAATTGGCGCTGTGAAAGTTCGTGTATAATATCTCATTGATCTACGAAATGCCAAACCTAGAATCGTGAGACTGCATAATAGTGAGAATCATGATCATCAGTTCCGCGCATTTCTTTGGATGAATATCCTGTGAATGTCGGTTGATCAATCTCTGACCAGTACTGTGATAACTCCATTGGGCCTTGCATGAGTCGAATGAGTGCTATTTTCGTTTCAACTGAGATAGTGATTAGAAAGTGACCATTGAGAATGAAACTAACAGAGTTTGTTGTTGTCGCGGAGTCTCTAGCGAACCCAGTCAAGGGCGATATTTGTTTTCCTTTCCAGAATTAGATGAGTTGGAACTGCCTGCCCAGTGTCGTATTGAATTCCCCAACAGTAATAATCTCATGCACTTCTTCATCAGCATTTCCCCGGATGAGGGATTCTGGAAGGGAGGTAAACCTGCTACCAGCTCCGCATCGCCAGGTCCTTGTTTCCGGTTCTTGCTACTCTATACTTCTTTATTATACTCTCCGAAATGCTCCGCTCAATCGATGAACCGACAAGTCGTTATGTGTTGTGTATGTGGTTAACTCTATCACCATTGATAGTGCTTCCCGGTGCGTATTTGTGGTATTTCTTCTCAGCCAAGTATCGGTTCTCCTTTGACATCAAACCCTTATACCCACATGACGCTCCTAAAGTAAGAAGTTTTGCGAGTTCCGCGTTGCGTGTGGAATTCAGTCATCAGGTGAAGTGTGAGACGAAGATTTATCATCCTAACATCGACCTTGACGGTAACGTCTGCCTGAATATATTGCGTGAAGACTGGAAACCAATTCTGAGCATTTCGTCTGTTGTGTAAGGGTCTGCTGCCCTCACGATAACTTTCGCCATTCTTGTGTACAGTTACGGCCTGCTCTACCTCTTCCTGGAGCCGAACCCCAATGATCCGTTGAACAAGGAAGCGGCAGAGGTAGAAAAGAAAAATCGTTGGTCGCTTAGCTGATGTTATCAATGAGGACTGTGTAGGTTCTACGGACGGATCGTCGACAATTCGGTTATGTAATACAGCGGTCTCTTCGAGGTGGAATGGTAGATGGTGAGACTTTCCCAAGACTTGTCTGAGACTATAACCTGGATAGTTCTGTCGAATACACTTTCTGTCTCACACTTGGCTTGTGTTCGATGTAGTAGTCGCGCGCACTGAGCGGTCATTTCATCGAAAGGCATTCCCGCTAGTATTAGTGGTAATGACATATCTCAACGCTTCGGTCTCGGAAATTGACATGCATTCCATGCTGGTCGGCGACTGTTCCCGCGGACAGTCGGCGCAGCATTGGTCGTGCACCGTCAATCTGGCCAACGAAGCTGGCTTGTTGGAATGGCAGCTCTTCAAAGAAGCACGCTGAGTTCGGGATTAATAACTAGTGCTAGCTCGCAGATCAAATCTCTCATCTTCACCGTGTACGAAGAGTGAAAAAAACTAATAACCTAATGACCTGAGAACTAATAGCCTTCGCCGGACCGTGTAGCTCTGCTTATGCGAATCGCAACATGTCCGCATCCTCAACTCGATCGCGGATCGGCGCGACTTAGTCTGTCCAGAATAGTTAGAATCGCCCCCCCTGGAAGCAAAAGGGGAGATGATCTCTTGGAAGCTCAGTAGTTGGATTAATTAGACCCCTTTGATGTTCGAACACAAGCTTTGTAGCACACACGATAGACATGGAGAGCATGCTCATTTCTTGTTCTTGCCTTTCTTTTTCTTCTTCGCGGCGGCAGCAGCGGCCTCTTCATCCAGCTGTTTGCGCTCCGAAAGGAGAAGATGGAGTTTCTGGAGAGCAACTACTGAGCCCGAATCCTCTCAAGATCGAGCTGTGATATGGCGCTAGAACTAACGGTGTTAAACAGGTGGAGGATCAGGCCGACTGAGAATGTACGTGCTCACTGATGCAATGCGCTACCAGTCACCATTTCGAGCTCCAATCTCGACCATCTCAAGTGAGGAGCTCCATCGTAATCGAATATACAACTATTTCCCAGTAAGAAGTAAGAATTTTCTCGACCAGGGCCTGGGCTCACATTTGAAGCCGCTTGCCACTCGGCCACGGTTTCGGGATGGAAAAATGCTTCCTCCAACAACTCTGCGTCTGAAATTTAACAGGCAGCATCAATTGGGCTTGTGTTTGATCTCATCTCTCATGATCGCAGGAAATCAATGCGGCAGGAGACTCACCTTCTTCCGGCGCCACCAAACTGGTCGCTTCCTCTACCGTGGAGGCGAATTCGTCAACCACGGGAAGGAATCTTACAGAACTCCGAGATGCGCGATCTCTGGCGATGGGAATTTCTCACTTTTCGCTGTCCTTCGTCAATTCTGGGAGAGCATCACTAGCTGTCCGAGAGAGCCCCCGAAGCGTGGCGATTGGCAAGACCGGCTCAACCATAATCAGGAGGCGCCTAGAGTAATCGTATTGGTGTCCGACTATGTTAATTTGGCGCGTGCTTTCGAGCCGTTCGGTAGAGATTAATCTCTACGTGGCTTTTGAAATGGTAGTCACATAACACACGTGAATCGATCAGTCCATTCGACAACGGAGTGTTTGAAGGATTCGTACGCCATGCGGTCGTCGATGTCCAGCTTCTTATGAACGCGTTTCCCTCTTTCAATCAAATGAGCATTGGCCGGCTCCTGTGGGAGGAAATGAATTCTCATATTCCAGTTAAGCAGCACCCCACCGATTCCGAGGCGGCAATTGATTTCTGCAGCAGATTCAGACGATTTGCGGTATTCCTGGGAAACGGAATTCATCAGTTCGATAGAACCAACTTGGTAAGCTCACTTGGACGGGTCTTCGATAGCTCGCAGGAGTCCAATATCGCATAGCACTCTTTTACGGACTGACCTGAGGAATGATTCTCACACAGTTCTTGTTAGAGAGCCAAGCAGGGCCGAGTGAGAAGCAACTTCTGTTACAAATTCGTACCACGAAAATCCTATGGTGTGTTTCCAACATCTACCCGCTACCCTTACCGGGCTGTCTCAAGCTCTCGTGTGGCTACGCCTGCTTGCACGCCCACTTCAATGGCCTCATCTAGACCGTCCGCAATGGCAGCGAGAGCCAATTGGTCGGGAGGCTCCTGGTAGGTGCCCTCGAGCTCCGCCTTCTGTGAAGTTCGACATGGAGTGGACTAACCGCCGCTCGAAGTACTCACGCGAAGGGTTATGCTTCCGGCGATCCTATCTTCGAAAATTTTGGCTTCATGGATGAGTTTAACGTCACATGGCCATTGAGCTGAGTCAGCCTTGGCTTCCTCAAACTGAGGACTAAAACTTCTATCGAACGGCTCGCATATCTCACTTCATCCTGCAGCGCTTCTAAGTCATCCAAATTGGCGGTATGTCGTCTCATTAGTTCCCGCAAACGGAGCTCACACGCATTGGTATTATCGGACACTTCTTCGCAGTAAGTGAACGGTCTTTCACGAACCTGTTGTCGGGAAGTAAGTACAGTGGCTTTGTTGTTTGCATGAGCCGATCGGTTTATTGGAACGCCGAGCACGATCGACGAATTTCTCACATTCCTCCGCATGTACGAGCTCTGTGTTTCGTATCGCCCGCTACGACGTTCCTCCACACTTCCAAAGCGCCGATGAAACTCACTTTGTCCGAGTGAGTGTGGTATGCATAACCGTGAACAACTTCCGATTCACAGAAGAAATTTTCAGTCCATTCGCACATGAATCTTGCCTTTTTCGCCGAGAATTCCACGCCTACACGACAAAAAACCGTTTTTTGTGAACAAGCTCAGCCCACCGTGAACTGCTCACAAAGGGGGATCTAGCGTTACTGGTACTTCCCGATAGATGTATGAATGCTTGCAGTACAGCACCCTATGGCATTAGCGAGTTACTATGATGGATACCCAAGTCAGTTCCTAACGTCGTTCGGCATGTCTATGTTAGTTTTTGATCGCAGTATTTCTTTTAACACGCACACTCACACTAAAACGAAGATTTGGAGAAGACTCATGATGAAGGCATCTGTGACTGATGGATACGAACTAACCTGTGGCGAAACAGGTAAGGGTAGTCATAGCTCTCGTCAGCAAAGCTCGAGTCTTCTCCTGGAAAGGCTAACTATGTGCTTCACAGCAAATTAGCGGCTCACGACTGTGCACAAGGCAATAGGTTCGTGCCCGCGGATATTCTTGGCGCTCACGTCACAACCTTGAGCTAGCAAACATGAAACGATCTCTAGAGAGCCTCCCGCAGCCGCCTGAGACATGATCATGGCGGAGGGTAGCTTGTTTGAAATCTACATGAATTATGGCGGAAATGTTATGCACTCCACATTTCCAAATGCTACCGGAAATACTATATTTTCCAACCACCAGTGTACGACGTAGGAGAGATGGAAGAGCCGAGAGACTTACCTGATGAAGAACCGTGTTCCCAATGTAGTCCACACTGTGAGGACTTATACCGTCCTTGAGAAGCAGCCACACAATCTGCGATAACATGATGAACAACGAGGACTGCTAGCAGTGGCTGAACACCTTTAAATGTCCATTGAAAGCCGCCCAGTGTAATGGCGTATGTTTTATCATCTTGACTGGCGCCTGAGCAGACCAAACAGTAATTCTCGATAATTGGAGCTTGATGCCGGCGGCCATATCGGGTCGGGCCTCCGGAAATTCACATGTAAAGGAAATATTCGAGGGGGCCTACGTCGAAGAGACTCTCTCGGGTAGAGCGAAAGATTCCTGCTGCACCTCGAGATATAAGTGACCTGAATTTGAGGATCCTAAGGAAGTTCCGGAGTGGCTCCGACCTCGCAACCGTCTCGTTCCCATTGTAAGCTGCCCAGGTTAGAGGTGTCCACAACTTGGGGTCATGACAAGTAGGGTCCTAAGAGTGATCGCTCATGGACATCAAAGTGACGCGTGAAAGGAACGGTGTAGTAGCGGTCCTGACAAATCGTTGGTTTCAGGGAAATGACGAGGACTTCATCGAGTAAGAAAACTAAACGGAAACCTACCGCTCGTTTGCTTAGAAGACTCAAGCACTGGGTTGTATCGTCATCAGCACAAACCTCTAGCAACAGCTCATTCATTAATCGAATCTCCTCCTCTGTCGCAGGGGCCGGGCTGTCCTCAGGGCCCGACTCCTGAAAGTTGGAACACGTTCCGAGCTTGCAAATGTAAGAAAACGTAGAGCACGAGTAAAAAAGAGGAGCGCACCAGAAAATGAATTCCTAAGGAGCATCCAATGCGTATTTTAGATTTTTCTTTCAGAGACGCACAATACTAAGACAACAATGTCGATTTCTCGCCAAGCTTCGTAGAGTTGACTGTCTTTTGAAACTACCTATTATCCACTTACTAATTGGTACCAACCTTCAATGATGAAAGAATGATCTAGGGCGTCCTCGAGGATGTGACGAAAACACAGATAATTGCGTGAGAGGGAAATTCCATTTTCTTCCAAGATCAGATCCGAAGGCAACATTAAGTCTATAATGGTTTGTATCCACTCATGCCAAAACGAAGCATTTAATCACCTACGTCCAGTAACCCACTCCTTACCCTTCTCACAGCCAGGCTCATTCTGAGTATACGAACTGACATGCTGATGGAACAACAGTTTATAGGGCTAAGAAGTTCGACAGAGGAGACGAAAGCAACGATCGTGATGAGCCACGGACTGTGTTAATCATGTTGTACCTAGGTTGATTCAACTTCACTGTTGTAGTCTGTTTCACCGCTAATACGATGTGCTTCCGTTGCTCATCAACGCGCAACGCGTTCGTCAATTCGTCACTACAACCTTCCTTTTTACAGATATACGACTCGTTTTCCTAAGAGTTCGATGATGAACCTCCGCCCACTAGATTGACAAACTCGAACGATTAGACTGTCTCTCGAACTATCGAGCAATTGTGCAACGACCACGCTGAGTATTCTCATCAACTCAGAACTACGAGCGTAGGTTCCTATCACGATTAAGGAAACAGTTTCCAGGCAATCCCGGATATGCATTCTGACCCAGAAATGAATAAAGTGACGTAAACAAGACAATAGATATACTAACAATTATACACAGTAGACTACAAAGCCCTCAGTATCGACCGTTTCATGGTCGCGGGCGATGACCATGTTGAGGAGCCTTTCGAGTGTTCTGCGACGGACCGGGGAAAGGCATCTCCTTCCCTCCCACAAACCACAAGGGACGATACTCCGGTATCGAGACATAGTTCACAGGGGAGTTGCGGTAGTGGTTGATGTTCGCATCCAGACCCTGGATCCGGGAGAAACCGGTTTGACAGACTTTGAGCGAGTTGAACCCCTCAAGTTTGTAGCCTTCAAAAGCATTCATAAACTTCATGGCCACATCGTGATCAACGAAGTTGACAAATGCATACCCCATGTTACAGCGGTTCCGAAAGTCAATTGGGAGATAGAAAAAGTTGAACTCGGAATCGAAACCTTTCGCTCGAATAACGTCCAGAAGCATCCTTTGAGTATACTTATTGGGAATATTACGTAGCATGACAGTCGTCTTCATCTCGGGCTGCATGTAACGTGTAGAGAAATGGTCTCTCTCGTCCACTTTGGGCCGTTGTCTCCTTCTACCCCGATCCTCCTTAGGTGATTCACATGGATCTTCTTCAACCACCATGACCATCTCCTCTTCACGTTGTTCCGCTACTTCCTGTTTAGGATCTTCCTCGACAACCAAGACTAAGTCGTCAACAACATCAGGGCCCCGAGATTGAGAAAAACCAAAAGCTTCATCGATACCAACGCTCTCTTCTCGGCCTCCAAGACTACCTAGCCTCACCCGAAGGCGATTGCTTAGTTCGAGACACTCACTCTGCGACCGATAACGCGGACTGGCGAATAGCGAGCCAGCGTCGGACTCGTGGACAGAACAAACGCTTGCAGCAAATCGTGGCGATCCAGCGAAGAACTCATCCTCAACTGTGAAGTGCAAGAAGGTGTTGAAGTTCTCCACGCGAACCGAAGATGGTGATGCATCGGACCCCTGGTCAAAACTGCGAGG